GATAGAGTCTTAAGCTGTTGCCCTGAGCAGAGTGCCATGGCTCATGTCAACATCCAACTTGGGCTCAAGTGATCCTCTTGCCTAAGTTTTCTATTTTTAGTATAGATGGGGGCTCACTTTTGCTCAGGCTGGTCTTGAACTTGTGGACTCAAGCATTCCACCCTCTTTGGCCTCCCAGAGTGCTGGGATTACAGGTGTGAGCCACCACACCTGGCCTAATAATTCCCTTCTAAGCCAGTGGTTCTCAGGTCGCAACCCACAGGAACTGTATCAAAGGGTCGCAGCATTAGGAAGGTCGAGAACCACTGTTCTAAGCATTCTAACTTAACCACAGTCTGTCTTCAAATAATTTTTAACCACTTTGTGTGTAATTAAAAGTACATAAAACACTTAGTATTATAGAGATTTTCTAGTTCTGGTTTTGAAAGAACACTGAAATTACTTAGATTTTAGCTCCCTTTGGAGGATAGTTTGACCTGTTATTAATCTTATGTAAAAAATTGTTCTTTTCAATAAGATTTTTATCAGTCTTAGAAACAGCAAGACACAAAAATGCTTATCAAATTCACCCTGATCTTACTGTTTTTAGGGGAAAAAGTGCTTGATTTTTCCTATAGTAACAGTTGTAATACTAATAGAGATTTGCAAAAACTTACCCCAGAATTTTGGTTTGTTAATGTGTAATATGGAAATCCACATAGGCCTTTAAGATAGACTGGAATTCAGATTCTAATTCCTCATCTTACTTGCTCTTTGACATTGGACTAGATACGTGACCTTTGTGTGGTTTCAGTTTCCTCACCCTTGCAAGGAAGATACCACCACCTTGCATAAAGTCTGTGAAATTCAAATGAGGAACGGGTGTGTGAAGCACCTAGTGTTTGTTGTCTTAGTCAATGTCAAGTCCTCAATGGACTTTAGCTCTAATTGTTTCCTATAGGCGAAAAGATGAAATAGTCTACATGTCTATTTACTTAAAGTTTTGTGAAGTTGGAATAAACTTCAATTCATGGAGGAAACATTTTTACCTTTCAGAGGGAGAAATTAAATTGAGAGTACTCTGAACCATGAGAAATATGCTTCAATACTTAAATAACACATTGTGGATAATAGTTATAAAATTATAAATATATTAAGTATAGTTTTTATCCCTTAGCAGTTGATTCAGAAGATGGTTTCAGAGTAGTTGCATTCAATGTAGTGTCTTTATTTATATCTTTTGTTTTATTCCCTACTATGTCCTTTGTAAAAACCAACATAAAAAAATTCTATGTTAGTATATATTAATTTTTGTTCTAAAGAAGTTCTAATGGGCCAGGCTCAGTGGCTCATGCCTATAATCCTAGCACTCTGGGAGGCTGAGACAGGTAGATTGCCTTAACTCACAGGTTCAAGACCAGCCTGAGTGAGAGCGAGACCTTGTATCTAAAAATAGCCAGGCATTGTGACAGGCACCTCTGGTCCCACCTACTTGCAGGCTGAAGCAAGAATTGCTTAATCCCACGAGTTGGAGGTTGCTATGAACCATGACACTATGGCACTCTACCCAGGTGACAGAGTGAGACTCTAAGTAAGATCTAATGTAGAAAATTCATGTTTCTTTTCAAAACTCTCCACATCTGTGTTCCTTAGTAAGTCTTGGGACTGATATTTACTCTGAGAGATTTTTCTTTTTCTTTCTTTCTTTTTTTTTTTTTTTTTTTTGAGAGAGTGTCTTAGTTTGTCACCCTCGGTAGAGTGCTGTGGTTTCATAGCTCACTGCAACCTCAGACTCTGGGCTCAAGCGATTCTTTTATCTCAGCCTTCCAAGTGGCTGAGGTTACAGGCACCTGTTACAATGCCTCGCTATTTTTAGAGGTGGGGTCTCAATCTCAGGCAGGTCTTCTCCCAGAGTGTTGGGATTACAGACAGGCACGAGCCACCATGCCCAGCCTTACTGAGAGAAATTTTAAGTATTTATTTTAGTGAAATTCACACAGTCCCTCAGGGTAGAAGATTACATAGACTAACCCTGAGTTAAACTCATTCTTGATCTTGTATTTTTAATTAATTTATTTTATTTTTATGGTTATTTATTTATTTTTTTGAGACAGAGTCTCACTATGTCACCCTTGGTAGAGTGCTGTGGTGTCACAGCTCACGGCAACTTCAACTCTTGGGTTTAAGTGATTCTCTTGCCTCCGCCTCCCAAGTAGCTGGGACTATAGGCGCCCACCACAGCACCCAGCTATTTTTTTGTTATAGTTGTCATTGTTGTTTAGGTTTGAATCCGCCATCCCTGGTGTGTGTGGCTGGCCCCCTAACTGCTAAGCTATAGGCTCTGAGCCTTATTAACTGATTTAAATACCCTTGTTGGTATTGTGCCTACCCTGTGAAATTCAGAGTCAAAGGTACATAAAAGCCTATGTACCTAATTATAAATGAAACTGTCTTTGTGGTTTTCTTTTTTTTTTTGCAGTTTTTGGCCAGGGCTGAGTTTGAACCTGCCACCTCCAGCATATGGGGCCAGCACCCTAACCTTGAGCCACAGGCACTGCCCTGTCTTTGTGGTTTTCAGAAAAGATTACGAAATACATTAAACATACAGAAAATTAGGGAGAGTAAGATAATGATCTACCTTTATTTATTTTTGTCATTAGCAGCCTTATTGTATATCCACCTTGGTGGATAGCTTAAATTAAATTGTTTTTTAAAAATTGTGAAACCAACTTTAAGAATACTTTTTCTGGGACAGAGGGGATAGCATTCATTGTATAAATCAGCTGCCTCTGGCTGGGCGTGGTGGCTCACACCTATAATCCTAGCACTCTGGGAAGCTAAGGCAGGTGGATTGCCTGAGCTCATGGATCTGAAACCAGCCTGAGCCAGAGCAAGACCCCCATCTCTAAAAATAGCCTGGGCATTGTGACGGGCGCCTGTAGGCACAGCTCCTCAGGAGGCTAAGGCAAGAGAATTGCTTAAGCCCAACAATTTGAGATTGCTCTGAGCAATGACACCACAGCACTCTACTGAGGACAACAAAGTGAGACTCTGTCTAAAAAAAAAAAAAAA